GGGGGGGTGGGAGCAGATTGTCGTCTGGGACCGATCTCTGTCCCCTTACCTGTAAAAGCCTCAGCAGAAGTAGCAGGACACAGAGTCCGAAGTCCGGCACAGTCTAGGGACCCCAGACACCTGGACTTAATTTCAAATCCACTCCCTCTTCTCTACAGGTGGTAGGAGGGTGTCCCGCCTTTGGACACACAAATGGGGGCGAGGGAGGGTGAGCCCAGTGTGTACCGGCTCCTGGCGCAAGGAAACTAAAATTATCTTGGGCAGGTGGGGGCGGGGCCTGGAGGAGGGGCATGGGAGGAGGAAGCTTAGGCTGGGCGGGGACTCCCTGAAACTCTACGCCGGCTGGGATTGTTTTTACCCTTCTTAGCCTGGCAGCAGGTGCCAGGGGAAAGGCGGAGACAGTCGAACTGAATAGCCTCTAGAGCGAAGACCTCACAGCCTGGGAGGGAGGTGAGAGGAAACGGCCCCGCCCACTTTTCCCCTTGCCCCTCCTCAAACCTGGAGTGTTCATTGGCCAAGCCAGGGGGCCTGCTCTGGGTCCTACCCCCTGGGGCGAAGGGCGCTCTAATAAAGAAGGAAGCCAATCAGAGGAGTGTCCAGCAACATGGCCTGCCCCTTGACCTCCAGCCGCAGCCTGGCCACCCAGGCTGCATCCTGGCTCCTCAGAGGCATCGAGGGTATGTCCTCCCTTCTGAGCAAAATCCAGGGGCTTAGCTTCTCCTACTGAAATTGAAGGGGTAAGGCATGGTCTCTTGGTAGGGAAAGCTCTGGCCACGTGCCAGGGGACTCCCCTATAACGCTCACTTTAGCTCTCTCCTTTTGCACTAGGCAAACACTGGGGTGTGGAGGGGAGGACCTGGAAGGCTGAGATTAAAGGCAGAGGCCACCTCCCAGCCTGAAGTGGGTGATAGTTGGGTAAACAAAACAATCCATAGGGTGATAAGAGGTCTGCCCTGGGAGACCATGAGAAGTGGCTTCAGCCTCCACTTTCTCCAAACTATGTTTTCCTCCGAAAAACCAGTGTGAGTAGACTAAGCAGAGAAGTGGGGAAAGGGGCAGGTCACCTGGGCCATAGAGTAGCTTGTGGAAAGCACAGTAGACAATTCACTCAATCATTCTTTCATTCAACTGATATTTGTTAAGAGCCTATTATAGGCCAACCCCATGCTTGGTACTGGGATCCAGTGGTAAGCAACAAAAACAGACCGCACCCTTGTCCTCATGTGGCACAGTTCAGGAGACTGATGCTAATCAAAGAATTATACAAATAATAAGAAACAACAGGTGACAACGATGCTGGGAGAATGACTCACCCAGGGAGTTAGAGACTTCTCCTTGGAGGTGACATGTGAGCAGAGGGGAAGCTGTCTGGGGCAGGGAAATGGGTGTGGAAGGTGTGGGGAAAGACAAGTGTTTTGGACTCAGCTGTGTTTCTCAAAGTGTAGCTTGTGACCATCTGCCTCCAAATCTCTCTAGGCTTGTATAAAAAACAGATCCCGGTGCCCCTCCCTACCCACTGAATCTGTCTCTGGGGCCAAGACCCAGGAATGTGTGGTATTGACAAGCCTTCAGGTGGTTGTTCCGTGAACCAGGTTTAAGAGCCAACCATCCTGTCTGTCCAGACCAGCAGGAACTATGGGCAGAGGCCAGACCCTGCAGGGTCTACATGTGCTTAAATAGAGAGAGGCACAGAGGAGCAGGCAGATCTTTATTTTGGAAAGATCACTCTGGATGTTGAAGGGTAGGTTAGAAAGGGAAGCCAGAGGGCTGAGGGCTGTAGGATTCCATTAAGGCTTTCTGAAGGGGGTGGAACTAAAACAGATCTGGGGTTGGGGTGGGGTGGGAGAGAGGGGTTGACAGTAGAGGGGCACAGGGACTTGTAGGAGGTAATGGACTGTTGTATATCTTGGTGATGGTGGTAGATGTACAACTGTGTGTCAGAGATCACAGAAAGGTACACTCAAGAGGGTGAATTTTACTGTGTATAAATAGTATCTGAATTTTTTTTTAATAAAAAAAGAAACAACAAAAAATAGATTTATAGGTCAGTGGAATAGAATCAACAGTCCAAATATAAACCTTTACATTTTTTATCAATTGATTTTTGACAAAAATGCCAAGACAATTCAGTAGGGGAAAAGGACAGTCTTTTCAATAAATGGTTCTGGGACAAATGACTATCCACATGCCTAAAGATGAATTTAGATCCTTCCCTGATACCACGTACAAAAATTAATTCAAAATTGATCATAGACCTAAACATAAGAGCTGAAACTATAAAACTTCTAGAAGGAACCATGGGAGAAAATCTTTATGATCTTGTATCTCAGATACAACAGCAAAATTACAGGTGGCAAAAGGAAAAATTGATATATTAGACTTCATCAAAATTAAAATATTTTGCCCTTCAAAAGACATCACTAAGAAAATTTAAAAAAAAACAAAAACTTGTCAAACATTGGGAGTAAATATTTACAAGTCATCTATCCAGTTAGGGACTTTGTATTTAGAATATATAAAGAATGCTTATGAATCAGTAATAGACAAACAACCCAATTAAAAATGGGCAAAATACTGTTCAACTCTTGCAAGGGATGTTGGGCTATGCCCACCCACAACTAAGGTTGAACACGGCACCTTGAGCTGAGCTGCCCTGAGTGGCCGATGGGCGGCCGGATGACGACTGGACTTGGAGCTGAGCTAGCTGTGTCCTCCACAACTAAGATTTAAGGACAACAATTTGGCTGTTCCCTTTCCCCAATTCCCCAATACTGTTGCCCTTCTCCAATTCCCCAATAAAATCTTTTACAGAAGAATGGGCAAAATATTGGAATATATATTTTTCCAGATAAGATACATGAATAGTAAGCACATGAAAAGATGCTCAACATCATTAGTCATTACAGAAATGCAAATTAAAGCCACAAGGACATACCACTTCACACCTACCAGGATGGCTATAATCAAAGAGATAGACAACAAGTGTTGACAAAGGTATGTGGAAACAAATCCTCATATACTTTGCTGGTGGAAATGTAAAATGGTAAAGCCACTTTGAAAAATAGTTTGGCAGTTTCTTAAAAAGTTAAACATAAACTTACCATTCAACCCAGCAATTCTACTCCTAGGAATCTACCTAAGAAACATGAAAATACATACATATACATACTCTTCAAATGTACTTACATGAACACCCACAGCACCATTATTCAAAATAGCCCAAAACTGGAAATTCAAATGGCTATCAATTGGTATCGAATAAACAAAAAGTGGCATATCCATACAATGGGATACTACTCAGCTACAAAAAAGGAACAAACTACTGGTAATGCTACAGCATGGCTGAACCTCAAAAACTACACTGAATGAAAGAAGCCAGAAGCAAAAGACCACATATTGTATCATTCCATTTGATATATGAAATGTCCAGAAAAGGCAAATTTATAGACAGAAAGCAGATCAGCGGTTTCCTAGGGCTGGATCTGAGAGATGAATTGACTGCGAACAGGCAGGAGGGCCCTTTTGAGCTTGATGGAAATGTTCTGTGACTGGATTGTAGTGATGGTTGCATAATTCTATAAATCATTGTTTAAAAAATGAATGGTTTTCCTAAGACTAATATAAATAAATAAATAAATAAAAACAATGAATGGTTTAAAGAAATAAATGGTAGAGTGGGTGACCTGGGTTAGTATACTATGGTGGGGAGGACGCCAGAAAGGGAAGAGGCAGGGAGACAGCCTCCATTTCTAGAGTTGCAAAACGGGAATAGTGATGCCAGCCTGTAGTGAAGCTGGGATAACAGAGGAAGTGCAGGAACTGTGTGCATGTGATGGGGAGCATACAGCTTGAGGAGGAGCCCCGAAACCTATGGATCCTGAATGCAGGGGAGAGGGGGTCACTGCCCTAGGTTGTGTCTACAGTTTAGTCAGAAATACTTGAGGGTGTGACTGTGGGGTGGTTTAAAATGCCATCAGCATGTTAGCAAGAAATGGCAACTATTCTATACCATCAGCCAACCCCAGGCCCTGAGACCCCTTGCTCCACCACATTCTCTTCCTGGAAAGCGCTTTGCAGTTTAAGAGAGTTCATTAGATTAAATAAGACCGTGAAGTCCAGCGGACACCAGGTGCGGGACAAGCTCAGGAGCTCGGAGAACCAGCGCGCAGGTTAACGCGCGGTCTGGACTCGTCGACCAAGTCCCAAGCTTTCTATTTAGCTAATAGGGTCAAAACATAGTAGCAGCAGCGGCCTGCAGGGGGAGCGCCCGGACGTAACGCGCTGCCCCGCCCCTTCACGTGCCCGCGGCGTCGCGTCACACCCGGAAGCAGCGTCTGGATCGGAGCGGGCAGCAATGAGCGGCGACCTGGGGCCGACGTCTGCAGCGCCCCATCCCAGGGAGATCGAACCCGGCAGTGGGGTCCGCATCGTGGTGGAGTACTGGTGAGCAGCTCTGCCCAGTGGGGTTCCGGCCCGGACAGGGGTGGGTCCACGGGAGCCCCCCCCCCCGCCATCCCGAAACCCGAGCGGACCCCAGGCATCTTCTCCCTAGTGAACCCTGCGGCTTCGAGTCGACCTACCTGGAGCTGGCAAGTGCCGTGAAAGAGCAGTATCCTGGCATCGAGATTGAGTCGCGCCTGGGGGGCACAGGTGAGGCCCGCAGAACACCTGCTGAGTCAGAGTTCTAAATCCCAGCTCTATGGTTTTTAGCTCTGGCATTGGCCGTTTTAGTGTCCAGCCGTGTCTGGCACATAGTAAAATGTCCAGCCAACTTGAGGCCCCTTCCATAGGTGAGGGGGTCACAGATGGAGCCTGTAGGGAAAAACCGGTGAGACTGAAGAAGTATAGGTTTGAGGGGAGGGAGCCCTTCATTTAGTTCAAAGAAAGGACACACAGATGACACGTCCTGTAGGTGCCTTTGGCTTGACCCAGGCTTGGAAAAATGCTTAAAGAACTGCAAGAGCCTCTATTGGGCCAGTGAGGGAACGTGAAGGAGTGAGTCTGTGTCAAGTCTAAGTTGTGTGGAAGACTCCACCTTTGGAGGACCTCCCAACTTTTGCCTGTCTTCAGCATACAGTTCATTCATCGGTTTATTCACTACCAGGGGCCTTTGAGATCGAGATCAATGGACAGCTGGTTTTCTCCAAGCTGGAGAATGGGGGCTTCCCTTATGAAAAAGATGTGAGTATTTGCAATGTTGGAAGTACCGCCCTGGTTTACTCTACCGCTACAATGAATCATCCCATTCCACATCTCTGCCCACTAGCTCATTGAGGCCATCCGAAGAGCCAGTAACGGAGAACCCCTAGAAAAGATCACCAACAGCCGACCTCCCTGCGTCATCCTGTGACTACATGGGATTTCAGGTTCCTGCTCATCTGGGATCCAAGCCTTGGTTTCCCCTTTGGTCCTGGTGAGGGTTTTTCATTGCCTTTCCCCTCACTTAGCTCCTGGTAGCTAAGAGACCCTGGCCTCCACTTTGCCCCGTGGGGTACCAGGAGGGAATAGAAACTTATGTGATCTCGGTGGGAGAGCCTCTCGGTTGACATTTCCACAGCCACCTTATACCCCCTTCCCAGGATCAGTGCACACACAAGCCCACTCCCCTCCAGCTTAGCCGTAACTGTCAAATGCCATCGTAGTTTTAACTTATTTTCCACTAGCCCTGGGCAATGTCAGCTATTGGCAATAAAGTGGCACTACAAACACCTGTGGCCAACTAGTGTGTGTTTTTATATCAAGTCTGGGAGTGGGGGAGGGTGGGTGGGTTAGGGGGAGCACAGAGTCCAGCCCAACCTTTATACCACCAGGGTGGCTGTGCTGGATGGGTGGGCTTTTTCTGGATATTTACTTCTATTATAGTTCAGTGATCTCCTCTCTCAGTCAACACAAGGGAAGAATCACACAGTAGACACCACCTCTTCTTTCCTCCCCCCTCCTCCCAACCCCCCTCCCCCCAAGGAAGAAATTACCCATTCTGGTGGGTGTCCTTAGAAATCCGTTGGGTTTTTTTGTTATTTTTTTTGGGGGGGGGTTGTTCGTTTGGTTTTTTCCTAAGCAAGAATGATTTGGTTGTCAAAGGGCTCTCAGATTACAGTCCCAATTCCCAGACCCCTAGCCCCACCCCCCAACCCCAAAGCCAGAAAGCTGGAAGACAGGCTTCTCATTCAGGCTTCCTAAAGATCACTAGCCACTTCCTTCAGGAAAAAAAATGAGTTAAGTGTAAGTTAGGAGGTAAGCAGTAAGGGATGGCACACAGCCACCCCCAGACAGAGGCTGGTGCCCAGCTGTTTTCCAAAATATATTTGCAGGTAGAGAAAGTGGGTATGGAGAAGGGACATCTTTCCCTCAACCCCAGGGAATCCCCCACCCACCCCCCTCCACAATACCCACTCTCCCCAAGTCCTTATTTCATCTTAAAAAAAAAAAGTAAAAACAAAACAAAAAAAAAACCACTCTGTACAGGACTAGATCTGGGTACTACTGCTGCTCCCTTCTTCCTGGAGCAGAGCTAGGTCTCAGGAACAGTCTCTGAATGGATAGCTTTTGTCCTAGCTACTCCTTTCGGGCCTGTGCCCCTCCTCGGCCCAGCTTCCTTAAGTCCTTCAGTGCCAGGGATCTGGAAGAATACAGCCAGGCTGGGCTGCTCCCTTAGGTAAGGAGACTGTGGTTATGGCATCCATTGGCCCCTGGAGTTTGCTGGGGCCCGGCTCGAATCAGTCAAGACTCTCCAGTGCTGCGGCTTTTTTCTAACCAGACTGAGCCACCTGGAAATTGGAACAGGAAGGAAGGTTCCTGGCAGGGCAGGCTCTGCTGGATGTGGTCCAAGGGCCCTCTCTCCGCCTTGTAACGACAGAGGCCAGAAGTCAGGCCTTTCCCACTCCCCGAGGGTTCAGCAGGACGTAAGCAGACTTGGCCTTTGGTTCACACTGGCACATCCAGACCCAGGTACTCAGGGTTCTCTGCTGTAGGGGTCCCTTCAAAGGTGTTGGATGGAGAGCCCCGCTCTGATGGGTCCTGGTCCCAGTAATAGAGGTTGTCAAAGGCCGGACTGAAGGCTGGAGGTGGGTGGGGTTGAAGGGTGGCCTTGCCACGGGGTGCTAAGTACTCAGGGTTCTCCACGGCACCCCCAAAGGCAAAAATGTCTTTGACAACCCCATTCTTCCCAGGGGAGAGAGTCTTGGGGGAGAGAGTCTTGGGCCTTTCCAGAGTGGCACCGGCAGGACGAGGAGGCAGAGGACCCTCTAAGGGTGAGGGGGGCTGCGGGTGAGCCTCTGGCTGGTTCACGTATTCTGAAAGGACAAGAGAAAGGGGCTTGTTAGGGGAAGGAACCCATGTGTCCCAGCTACTATCACAGTCCCCACAGTGGGCCTTCGGCTGAGGGCCCCCAACTTCCCCACCTCCCAATCTCAGCTCAGGCCTGGATTCCATACCGGGTTGGGGGCTGCAGGTCAGAGGGGCGACATAGCCATCAGTCTCAGGGGGCAGGGGTACTGTGGGGTCCTCACTGTACCGCTGTAGAGGGCTGAGGTCATGTGTGGGGAGACCCTGCAGCCCCTTGGCTGCCCCCATTCCCAAGTCGCTGTCGAACACATCAGAGCCTGCCCCTTCTGAGGATACCAGTGGAGACTTGGGGGGCTCCTCCTCAGAGGGCTCCAGCCCCAGCGTCAGTTCACCACCACCACTCTGGGGACAAAAGAGAAGGTCAGAGTGGGAGTTATTCATGGATTTGGGGTGGAGACTCCATGGGAGGTGACAGGGTAACAGGAGATAAACAGAAGTCACCTTTGGGGTATGACAGTCACAGTGGAGAGAATGGGTCACAGGTTGAAAGGCAGTAGGAACCCTTCTTAGGGAAAACGGGATCTCCATGAGAGGCGATGGTTGTGGAGGGACATGGGAGAAAGGGACCCTAGTCCACTGGGATCAGGGGAGGTAACCAAACACCCACCAGGTGTGACCGAGGGCACTGACCCTGGTGGATGAGCTGCGGTGCCTGTGGTGAGCTGTGCCCCCAGCACCTGGGGCAGGATCTGGGCAGAAGAAGCCCTGCTGGGGTACCAGGTACTCCTCAGCGTCCACAAGGTCCCCCATGTCGTCATCCTCTAGCAGCGAGCGGTAGAAGGTGCTGTCCAAGGGGCTGGCAGGACCCAATTCCTCATTCTGGGGAGGAGGGAGACAGCGTGGCAGCCTCTTCCCAGCCCAGCACTCAGTCTCCCGAGGTAAGGTGAGTCAGGCAAGGGCTGGGCTTGGGGGCCTGGGCCTCAGGAGTCATCTCTCTTTCCACCCTCTGCAGGAGAGTGCTTAGTTATAGGCAGGGATGGAGCAGAAAGGCCTAGTACCTGGATGACCACAAAACGTTGGGGGTCCCTGGCCATGCGGGAGAATTCAGCCACCAGCTCCCGGAACCGAGGCCGACATTCAGAGTCGATCATCCAACCTGGGAGCAGGAGGGAGCTCAGCATCTCAGTTCCCAATGCAGCCTGTGTGCAGCCCCACCCCCTCGCCCTCTCAGGTCTGATCTAGTGAAAGCCCTTGGGTGATAGAGCTAAGATCCCAGAACCTTTGAGAATCTCTTTAAGTCTGCCCTTTTCATTTTGCATCTAAGTTTTCCTAGCTGATCTCGAGCGTCCCTGGACTGGTACTATAAAAGGGAAGCAAGACCCTTTTAAGGCTCCTTTAACCATATCAGGGCCCCTGGGTCCACATACATCCTGCTCGTGGCCCTCTCCCATGCCCCCTGGAGGCCCCTTCACTCAGGACCTCCCACCCCTCCACACAGCCAGCACAGCTCATCCACACACATTTGACCATGATCATGTAGACATCGATGGTGCAGATGGGGGGCTGGGGCAGCCGCTCCCCCTTCTCCAGCAGGTCAGGGATCTCCCGGGCTGGGATCCCATCGTAAGGTTTGGCCCCAAAAGTCATCAGCTCCCATACAGTCACACCTAGGGCAGAGACAGGGTTAAGAGGTGGGGGCAAGAGGGAGCTTTAGCGTACTGAGCCCCAGAGGCTCCGTCCAGGAGCCGAGCACCATGTGGGAAGGAAGGAAGCGATGTGATGCTCAAGGGCAGGAACTACCAAGTCTTCCCCAATCCCTGGGATGCGTGGACCCTGGCAGATCGAGGCACTGGCAGCCCCTCCTTTCTGCCCCACATTCATGCTAAGGTGTCTCCATTAATTCTCCCATCTCAACTCTCATCCTCATCCTTCTACCAACATCCCCCCCATGGACAGGGCCATGGCTCCTCTGCCACCACTCCCCATCACGCACCGTAGCTCCACACATCACTCTGGTGTGTGAACCGTCGGCGGAGAATGGACTCCAATGCCATCCACTTGATGGGCACCTGGGAGAGCAGAGGAGAAAGTCCTTGGACTAGGTGTGGGGCGAGACGTGGCCATTCTCAGAGTTCTCCCAGGGCCAGATCCCATTCCACCTTGCCTCACTCTGCTCCCTCCTCTAACCTTGCCCCCATCAGCGTGGTACTCCGTCTCGTCAATGTCCAGCAGCCGAGCCAGCCCAAAGTCTGTGATCTTGACATGGTTGGGACTTTTGACCAGCACGTTTCGGGCAGCCAGGTCCCTGTGCACAAGCCGCACTTCTTCCAAGTAGCTCATCCCCTGGGATAAGAGGCACCCATGTGAATCATGCTCTGGCCACACTCTCCCAGGAAACCTCCCCATCCTAGCCCTGGGTGGGGACAGCCTTGCTCCCAAGGGCACCCACAGAGCCCGGCCCCCTGGGTGCATACCTTTGCAATCTGCACGCACCAATTCAGCAGGTCCTGGGAGCCCAGGCGCCCTCGGTGTTCTCGGACGTGGTCTAGGAGGCAGCCATAGGGCATAAGCTGTGTCACCAGCTGCACTGTGGAGGTCAGGCAGATGCCCAGGAGGCGCGATACATACGGAGAGCCCACACCAGCCATCACATATGCTTCCTAGGGGCAAGGGTACACACTGAGAAGGTATGGGAGACCACACACCCTATCCACCACATGTCCTTCCTGAGGGCTGAGGCAGGACTGGGGACCTCACCGGATCCGACCCCATCCAATACAGACCAGAACCACAGCCCACAGACTGGGGAGGTTAAGAGTTGAGGTGTGGGGATAACACAGAGCGTCTCCTCAAACTCCAGTGAAGAGAGAGCCCAGAGCCCAGACCTGCAACCAGGGGGTCCCTCCTGTACTCCCGGCTGGAGAGGGTGGAGGGGCTTACGTCCAAGATTTCTTTGTTGGCTTTGGGAGATGTGTTTTCCCTTAACACTTTGATGGCCACTGGGATTTTCACATTCTCCCCATCTGGGATCCAGATACCCTGGACAAAAAGAGGAGGATATGAGCAGGAAGAGGGCCAGCCAGATGCATCCAACCTGCAGCAGTCTAGAGGGTCATTATTTGTGCTCTGAATACCCTTCCCCAGCCTTGGGCCAACCCCACTATTTAGCAACAACCTCACTATTTAGCCTCACGCTCCAGTCCCCTTCCCCTTGTTCCACACTCTATAACTGCTGCACCGAATACCACCCCCCCCAACCCTTGGCTACCTTCCCCAACAGAACCCTTGGCCACACCCAACACATCCTCTGGGACCACCCACCCCGGACTTTGGCCCCATCTCTGACCTTATAGACTGTGCCAAAAGCTCCTGATCCAAGCACCTTCACCTTCCTCAGCTCTGTCTCTTTCAGGATCCGCATCTGAGCCTGGTTGGGCATCGCTCCGCTAGGTGTCAGAGGCTCCACCAGCTGGGATGAGGGGGTGACCTTGCATCAGTGCCTGCGGGGCTGGGCCGCAGACCCCAGGCGGGCAGGGAGGCCCTCAGACCACCTCACCTCTGTTTCCTGCAGCAGCCTCCGCATCGTGTACTTTCGGATCTTCTGCCGCCTTCGCCTAACTACAATGCCGAAGACGACCCCCACGACCATGAACAGCAGAGTGCCCACCACAGTGGCAATGATGGTCGTCACAGGACTGGGGACAGAAGCCAAGGTCAGGGATTGGGGACCAATCTAGTGTAGAGGGGATGGAGGGGCCCCGTGGAGGGGCATGAAGGTCGCTGGTGTTTGGAAAGGGAATTTGGGAGGATGACCCACAGGCTTCCGTCCTCTCTTCCCTACTTTAAAACTTCCCTTGGCTCCCTATTGCCTCCAGGATAAAGTCCAAACTCCTTGCTGGACATTTCAAAGCCCTCTCCACCCACATCTCCAAATTGTCTATGCTCTTGACCATGGCTGTAGTCCAGGGGTCTCAAACTTCCTGACAAAAATCACCAAGAAGCTTGTTAATATGCACAAGTCTGGAGCCCCACCCCCAGAGATTCTGATTGTGGTATGGGGTGGGGCCCAGGAATGTACACCCAGTGATTCTGATGCTCTAGCCAAAATTTTCAGCCATAGGTTCATGATTTTCCACACCTCCCAACCTTTGCACATGCTGTTACTTCTGCCTGGACCACCATATCTCCATAGGATCACCTTTCAAGACTCATCCTGGAATAGATGGCACTCCTCGGTACTAACCCTACGTCGCTGTCATCCTTGCCCCTTTCCCTTGCTTAGTCAAGGGCTAGCACATCACAGACCTCTAATAAACACTTGTTTCATAGACAAATGACTGCCTAGGACATACTCTAATCTGTTTTTCTCCCCAAAGCTCCCCACTGACCACCAAGGGGCTGGTAGGGGATGAGGGGCGATGCTGTAGCTGCACTCTCTTCTCAATCTACCTTGAGTCCTGGGGAGTCAAACGCTGCCTATGTCCCTTACAAGACATCTAGCTACTCAAGGGTGGGGAGGTACTGGGTGTCTTTGCCATCTTCTCCTGTTCCCCACCCCTCAAGCATCATCTTGAGCAGGTCCTCCATTCACTTGTTGAAGCGAATTGAAAGGAGGGTCAACAGTGGAAAAGTGGGCAAGGAAGGGACATGTTGATGTCAGGATACCCCCTTTCCGGCAGCAGTGACCACCTAGGGGCTGGTGGGAGACTGAGGAGCAGCATAGGGTGCATTCTGGGGACCAAGCTGACCTGGCTTTCTGCTCGGCGGGGCAGCCCTTGTCATCCAAGTCCACACAGCTGCAGGAGAGAAAGTCCTGTCAACAAGGCTGGAACCACCTCCTGTCACTCCAGCCTCACAGCGGCGCTGAGGTAGGTGTGGCTGGGTTTTCATCCTCATTTGACAAAAGGCAGAAACTGGGCTCAAGGTCACCAGTGCCTTTCTCACAACCCACAAGGGAATCCCTCCTCTAGCCTGTGACCCCGCACCCCCTGCTCCCCTGCACCTCCCTGTGGTGTGTCCTGTGGGGGGACACCCAAAGGAGCATCAAGTCCAAAAGCTTGGCCATTCCCTCCATGAAAGGCCAAGGTAGTAAACTGGCACAACTTCCGCAGAAGACAGTTTGGCAACACCTATTAAATAATGTCTGTGACCAGCAGTTCCACCTCTCAGGATGTACCCTAAAAATGCCAACACCTGTAAACTGAGGGGCACGGACAAGATGCTCACATGTACATGGAGCTCAAGTGCAATAGAAAAGGCAACACGCTCAGTCAACATCCCTCAAACAGGGACATGGTTAAAGACTACATCCATGTCGCAGACTGAGTAGTTCAAAAAAAAAAAAAAAAAGAAGGTAGATCCATGTGCACTCACAAGAAAGGGCCTTCAAGACACATAAGGGGGGTGGGGCACAATGCAGAACACTACGTGGAGTATGAGTCCATTTACATACAAAATGCACACAAACACCAAAACTGATTATGCATTGAACTATACGAAATTGCTATGTTCTTGACCATTTTTGATCTACAAAAACAGCAATTTATATGACTCAACCTAATACACATGTGATATATGTTTATGTAAATGTGTGGAGAGAGAGTCTGGAAGGATACCCACAGGGTGAATCTGCTGATTCTCCCCAGGGAAGGGTCGGGGGGGGGGCAGAACAAAAGGGCACATTTACTTTGCAATGTGTATGTTTTTATAGTGCTGAAAATGTTAATTACAAGGATGTATTCATGTATTTCATGTGTAATTAAAGGCAGCTATATGAAAAAAGTAAAAATAGGGTAGATCATCGTGTTAGGACATGAAAAAACATGGCAAGATTCTTTTAAGTGAAAAGAAGCAATCTGCAAACAATATGTATGGTCTGTGATCCTATTTTGGTAAAAAGAAACTTATGTTGGGAGGTGGTAGAAGAGGGCAAAGGGGATCAAATATATGGTGATGGAAGGAGAACTGACTCTGGGTGGTGAACACACAATGCGATATACAGATGATATATTATAGAAATGTATACTTGAAGCCTATATAATTTTACTAACCAATGGCACCCCAATAAATTTAATAAATAAATGTTAGAATACAGACAAATAAAAACTGGAGAATAATATATATTAACATATATATAATATGTTATAAGAATACATGTTAGAATGTGCACAGATAAACACTGAAGAGTATAACATTTTATATGTTATAATAATATATATGTTAGCATGTGTAGTTAAAAAACTAGAGGAAAAATATTACAGAGTATTAACAGTAGGGACAGAACTGCTAATGACATTAATTTATATTTCATGTTTTAATTAAAAAAACTTTTTGACAACATGTTACTTTTGTGGTCAGGAAAAAAAAGATATGAAAAATTACGTCTCAGGGTAAGCAAAGGCAGAATTGTCCCCCTTTTATAATAAGAGCCCCAGAGAGGCTTCTTGGAACAAAGCCCTCCTTTTTGTAGAAAAGGCCCTCAGACTCACGAGTGGGTGCAGTTGATGGGGCACGGCTGGCACGTGCCCTTTTCATCTGGGAACTTCCAGATGGGCATGAAGGAGAGGTCCGGTTTCACACCACTGGGGCAGCGAGCGACGCAGAAGGAAAAGTCCTTGTAGTGGGCACAGGCCACACACTGGTCAGCCTCCTGGGAGGGGAGGAAGGGTTTGTGTGGGGCTGGCAATAGGATCAGGCCCTTGGGTCCCCTTTGAGCTTCCCACTGCCACTCAGCAGCACTTTTCACCCTGCTCCTGGGACAGCCCAGACCGGCTGTGTCTGCAGCCCCTGCTCTTTACCCAACTCCCCCCACCCCCACCCCCGAAGGCTTGATCCCCAAGCCAGGGACTTCAACTGAAGAACTGGAGGCCTAGGAAGGGAGTGCATTACTTAAAGTATAACAGCAAGTAATAATAGTATCTAATATGTAGAAAGCCTTTCCCATGCTCAGGCACTGGACCAAATCCTATTTTAAGCTAATTCTTACTGTACCCTCATGAGGCCGGTACTAGTATGATACTCATTTTACAAAGCAGCAAACTAAGGTTGGAAGCAGAGCCTGGATTTGAATCCAGGTAATCTGATGCCAAACCCACGTCTAACCATCTTGGCACAGCCACAGCCAAGGACACTGGCTTCCCTGGGACCTCTACACAGCCTGAAGGGACTCAGGGACCACAACACAACTCTTGCAGTCCCCAGCATCCCAGCCATACTCTGCCCTCCTGCTATTCCGCCCTCCCACTGTTCAGGTCTGAGCTCAGGGCTCTCTCCACAGATGTTTGACCAGACTTGGCCATGGTCAGGCCCCTAGCAATCTGCCCTAATCCACCCTTACTTCTCTCCACCCAGCTCTGAGCCCACCAGCACCTCACCGATCCTAAGCAGGTCACTGAGCCATTCTGGGGTTGACACTCAGGGTGGCACGGCAGACAGTACCTGTCCTTCACATACTCCCGGGGGAGCCTAGGAGAGGGGATGGCTGATGAGGAGGTCTGAAAGAAACCCCTATGCACCCCTCCAGCCTCCCCCTGCTCCGCCCCGCATACCCCTGCAGTACTCGGCACTCCTCCACGCACTCCTGGCCCCGAAGAAACTGGCTGCAGTTGACGCACTGGGTGGGCCCCGGACCCCAGCAGTGCCCGTGGGCACACAGCGGGTAGCAGGCCAGGCCATCACCCACTGCAGTGAGGAGGAAGGAGTCAGTGGGAACTCTTAAGGGGGGGCTCCAGGTCCAAGTGAACCAGGGGAAGAGGCTGTGGGGGTGGCTCTGGGTTGGAGGGGTGGGATAGGGCCTGGGCAAGGCAGGGAGAGAAAGAAATCCTGAGGTTCTAAGAACAAAGAGGAAAGGGAAGGGAGGGATGCCAAGGCAGTGAGGCAGGACTCAGCTAGAAGCCATGCCAAGAGGTCAAGCCAGCCAGAGCTGTGTCAAGAATGGCGCACCGAGGAGAAGCAGTCTGCACAAGTCCCAGATTGCTGTTGCTAGGTGCCCATGGGCACGCCTGTGTGCTGGCAGACGGGAAGCGGGCAGCACTGGGCTCCCTGTCTTACCGCATTCATCCTCTGGTCGGTTGGCACTGTGGAGCAGGGCCTGGTGAGGGTTCCGGAAGAGCTGGTCCCAGGGCACCGTGTGTACAAAGCAGAGGCGGGCGTTGCGGTGGATGAGGGCCAGTCCACTGCTCAGCTCCCGCAGTGAGCGCAGCCCCAGCCAGCTGATGCCCAGCCCTTGCAGGGTCAGGGAGTAGGCACCACTGTGGGAGAGGAGTGCTCAGCTGCAGGGTCTGCAAGGGCTGCCCTCCCCATCACACTGGCAAACTCCCATGGAAAGGCTGCTGACGGAGCCCCTGGGGAATAGAAGGACCCACCACACTCAAAGCTTCTCCCAGGCCTCCCCCTGTCGGGCCCCCGCCCCTGGTGCTCACTCATGCAGAATTCGTCCCCGGATTACTCGCAGGTTCTGGAAGACACTGAGGTCAGGCAGACTGTCTGGCCACGCTGAGATGTACAAGTAACCTGCAGGTACAGGATGAGTCTAGGGGTATGGGGACAGAACAAGGACCCCCAGGCCCTTCAGAGCAGGAGGCAGAGTCCGAGCCCACCTGTGATCTCCTCCAAGGTCTCAAACACTCTGAGCTGCTCAGGCTGTAGCGGGGCAATTTTGGAGGCTGGGTTCCTAGAAGGAGGATGTGAGGAGTCAGCAGGGCCAGGAAGGGGTGGGCACAAGCCCCAGAGCTGGCCCTGCCCCCCCAACCCCCATAAATAACTTCACTTAACCCTTTGCTCAAGCCCAGCTCTTCCCATCCTGAGCTACAAGGCCCAGACCCTAGTTTGACAGGATCAATCAAAACAGTCTTTATATTCTTTGATCTAGAAATTCTACTTCTAGGAATGTGGCCTAGAGAGACACTGGCCCCTGAGGCATACACAAGGCAGTACTATAAGAGCGGAAATTGAAAATGACCTAAACGCCCATCAGGAAGTAGGGGAGCTGTTAAATAAAACGGATCTATCTAAACTACAGAATAAAAATTAACATTAGGAGCACTTAGTATGTGCTAGGCACTGCTCTAAGAGCTTATGCATATTAACTCCTTCAAACTTTATAACCACCTTATGAGACTGGGACTACTTTTGCCCCCATTTTAGAGATGAAGAAACTCGGGCACAGCAAGGTCACATGCCTAGTAAGTGGTAGAGCCAGGTTTACAAACCCAGGCAGTCTGGCTCCCGGGCCTGGGCCCTCCGCTGCTACTCTTTGCTGCTGCCACCTGCTTCCACAGCTGCTGAAAGAACGAGGCAGCTCGACAAGAACCGTCAGGACCCGCTCTCCAAAGCAAGGGGCAGACGATACTCACAATATGCTCCCATTTACATACACCGACCTCCCCAGCAAAATTACTACGACTACGTTTCTCTGTGAGCATCTATGTGCGCATACACATAGAAGAGCACACAACCTCTTAATAGTGGTCTCCTCTGGAAAGGGGAGTGGAGGTGGAGGAAGTGTTGAAAGGAATTTTCTCCTTTTTAATACACATTTTATTGACACGTAATTCACATACAACAAATGCAGGTTTCTACTGTACAGTTTGATGCGTTTTGACAAATGCATTCACTCATGGCTCCCTCACCCCAACTGATATACAGCATATTCCCATCACCCCAGAAATTTCCTTTGTGTCCCTTTCGAGGCCCCCCAGCCCAGGCCCACCACTGTCCTGATTGCTATCACAGAGCGGTTTTTCCTGTCAAGAGCCTCACATAAAGTGAGGACTCATACAGTGTAGACTCTCTTGTTTGGTTTATTTCACTTAACAGTGCTTTTGAGACGCATGCATATTGTCATGTGTATCAATAGTTTCTTTTTCTTTTTTTTTTTTTTAGCTGAGCCATCCTGCCACCTGTTGGCAGCTCAGCAGCTGCTCAACTCGGGCCGGGAATCGAACCGCTGTTGCTCAGAGCTCAAATTCTTGAGCAAGCTCTTAACCAACTAAGCCACTTGGCCGACCCTAGTAGTTTCTTTTCATTGCTGAGAATTTCATTGTATAGATAGACCATCATTTATTTATTCATTCACCTATTGATATACATTTGTGTTATTTCCAGTTTGGGGCTATTATGAATAAAGCCACAATGAACTCAAGGAGAATGTGACTTTATCCAGATGGCTGGATCTCCATACAAGTGCATGTTCACGGATAACATGTCAGTTATGAAAATAACCTCCCTAGAAGTCCCTGCCCCCTCTGGTCTCCCACTTGCTTCTTCTGCATTCCTGGCCTCCCACCTCGGTCACTGGCCATCCCCCCAAGATGCTGCCACTTCTGTATCCTCAGGAATCAGTGACTTCCCTGATACTCTCTCAGGTCATTGTGCCCACCCTTAACTCCGAGTATCCTTACCTCTGAAAGCTCTCTGGCAGAAACGCTAGGCTCCCAAAGATCTTCTTACAGCCGGCAAACTCCATGATATTGGCACTGGTGACGGCCCTCACCTCCCGCAGGTGTTCCATGCCTAGACCATAGCACACTGTGGGGAGTGGGGCAGGTGGTAAAGGGGCCATCTCAGCCCCTACACTGGGACTGATCAGCCCCCACATGCAGCACCAGGAATCAAACTCCTGGGTCCTGTCCACAGTCCCATCCTGGGGCCACATGCCCCCTCCCCACACTGGCAAGATATGGGAGGGTTTGTGGGGCTGATCTGGGGAGAGCCAGGGGCAGACACAGTGGGAGACAAGGACTGGGTCCCAGCAGGGTCTGAGGAAGGCTGGGACAGTGAGCGAGGCCAGGCTGGGTGCAGAGGGACAGGAACGGCAGCCTGCCTTGGGGGGTAGCAGTGGGTACCTTGGGCACAAGACTTGCTGCATTTCTCACAGCGTTGTGTTCCGTCCTCAGCTGTCACTTCTTGGTTGTTCGGGGGACAGTCCAGGGTACAGGATCCCACGTCCGTCGACAGGTAGTTGTCTGAGGAGAGCAGGATTGTGTGTCCACATTCCCCCGGCCCTTCATGCCCCACCATGAGCAATGTCACCATGCCCGGGGAGCACAATAGGAATAACATCAGCCAGTACTAGTACTGCAATGCCCTTACTACAGGTCTGAGCACTTACCATTCATTTACTCCTCACAACAACCCTCTGTGATAGACACAGTGAGGTTCCCATGTTGCCAAAAGGGAAACCAAAGTACAATTTTATGTAAATTACTCAAGGTCATTGGGCTAGTGAGCGGAGGAGCCAGGGTTTGAACCCAAATGGTCTGGCTCTACACTTTGTAGTGTCACCCATCGTGGGGAGGGTGTGACCAGGACCTGAGAGCCCACTCCTGTCTCCCGTGAGAGAAGGAAAAGGGTCCCCGATCCAACGCCAGTCCCTAAATGCCCATCAGGAAGTAGAGGAGCTGTTAAATGAAACGGATCTATCTAGACTGCAGAATAAAAACTAACATTTAGGAGCACTTAGTATGTGCTAGGCACTGCTCTAAGAGCTTATGCATATTAACTCCTTCAAACTTTATAACCACCTTATGAGACTGGGACTACTTTTTCCCCCATTTTAGAGATGAGGAAACTCGGGCACAGCAAGGTCACATGCCTAGTAAGTGGTAGAGCCAGGTTTACAAACCCAGGCAGTCTGGCTCCCGGGCCTGGGCCCTCCGCTGCTACTCTTTGCTGCTGCCACCTGCTTCCACAGCTGCTGAAAGAACGAGGCAGCTCGACAAGAACCGTCAGGACCCGCTCTCCAAAGCAAGGGGCAGATGATATTCACAATATGCTCCCATTTACATACACCGACCTCCCCAGCAAAATTACTACGACTACGTTTCTCCCAGGCACTCACAGGGACAGGAGGTCACACAGCTGGCACCAAAGGTATAACGGCCCTCAGGGTTAGGCATGGACTCGAAGGTGTCCGTGTTGTAGGTGACCAGAGCTGGGCAGTGCAGTTCACAGATGCCACTGTGGTTGAAATGGAGGCAGGCCTGGGGAGACAGGCAGCTGGTGGTCACGGGGCTGTTTCTCCCTGATGTGACAGGGGCAATAGGGCAGTACCAGGGGGGTGCCCCTTCCCTTGCCCCCCGAGGGGTGGGGATCAGTGGGCACGTACCAGACAGTCGGAGTGCTTGGGGCCTGTGCAACCGGCAGCACACTGCTCATGGCAGCAGTCGGTGGGCAGTGGGCCCTTGCACCGGGCACAGCCACTGGCACAAACAGTTTGCGTCACTGTCAGGCAAAGGGCAGCATGAGGTCTGGGCAGCAACCTGGGCACCAGACCCAACCTAACATCACCTTCTGAGGAGACCCCCTGCCCCAGGGAAGACACCTGAGGCTTGGTATCCCACCCCTCTCAAGTCACTTTTATTCTTCCCAGCCTGCCCCCCAGATTCTGGGCCTCCGTAAGACTCACAGCTCTGACAATCCTTGGAACTTTCTCCCCAGCAGAAGGAGGCTTTACAAGCTGGAGAACAAGGTTGGCCTGGAGAGAGAACGGAGACAGTGAGACAGAAACCAGGAGGCAGAATGCACAGTGAGGGCGAGACCCAGGCCAACAAAGGGGCCTCTGAAAACAGACACAATCTAGAAGCAGAGGGAGACAGGACAGAGGGCCACGGAGACAGAGAGATGGTAGGAGGGACAAGGAAGAGGAAATGGGTGGTATTAGTGCAGGGGGTGCGGGGAGGTAAGCCAAGAGTTGGGGGTGGAGGGCATGGGGGGGAGCTGTCTGAGAAAGAGAGGAGGCTGCAGGCAGGGAGGAGCATGGCTTACAGGCCCGGGAGTGGTTGGCGTCTATCTGCGTGAGGTCCAGCTGGTTGTTCTTATGGAAGATGTCCTTCCACAAAATTGTGTCCTGGTGGCAGAGCTGGGGGTTCCGCTGGATCAAGATCCCGCCCTTCAGAATCTCTGTGGGGCAGGGAATAATCAGGGGCTTCTTTCCCTGTCTGTCACCTTCTGTCCTCCTGCCTTCTAAACGGGGAGCAGGCTTCTCAAACACACTCCAGGATCCCCAGGGAGCAGAGAAGACACTTAAGCATCTTTTAGCACTACCGATACCGACACTATTCCCCCCGACACACACATGAACCAGCTGAGATCCAGGAAGGACTGAGTTGTCCATGTCAGGCTCCAGATGTCCAGGTCACTCTCTCCTCTCCTCCCACCTCTGCTCTGTGCACACTGCTTGGCGGTTAAGAGAGACAATGGAGTCTGAAACCCAGCCTCACCACTAACTAGCTGTGTCACCTTGAACAAGTCACTTACCCTCTGTCAACCTGTTTTCTCATCTGTAAAATGAGAATAACATTGATGCTTGCCTTGCAAGATGATAGCACGACTGAAATGGGATCATGCACAAAAAGCCCCAGGCACTCAGGGTTTGGGACACTGTCAGCCCCAGGGCTGCCATGTACAGTTACACAGTTTGTTCACTGCACAAGTGTACTCAGCCAAGAAGTGGGCAAAACCTCCTCCTGCATCCTAATTATCACACTGTGCAGGCTGGCACAAGCTGCGACTTACTGGGAAGAAGGGAAATCTTTTCTAATCTGCACAAGGCCACCTTCTCTAGCTCCACCTGCATCCATCCAGAAGGGACGCAAGTTCTGATTCACGCAAAGCCTCCCATGGCTGGCAGTGGCCCTGGTCAGCTCTCAATAACTAGGAGATTTCAATGATAATGATGACCACCTGTGAGGCTTCGCAGCTGCAGCTCCCGCAGCCCTCCTTGGGCAGCCCTTGCCACAGGGGTGGCACTGTCTAGCAGGTCTCCATTGTCCAGCACGGCCAGGGCATAGTGGTCCTCAAAGAGCTGGGTGCCTCGCACGATTCGCAGCCTCTGCAGTGGGACCTGTCTGACTTGGTTGTGAGCGATGAGCACGTAACCCTGCACCTCCTGGATATCCTGGGAGGGAACAGGGTAGGGTGGGGCTGAGGCAGACCTGGGCCCTGGAACACTACCATCCCCTAAGGCTTCCTCAGGGTTACCCAGTGCTTGGGGATCTTGGGCAAGGCTCCCATCCACTGAGCAGTCCTGCCCCCTTCATGCATAAAATGGAAATCGAGGCCACTCCCCACCTCCCCAAACCAGATTCCTGTATGATCAAGAATGATAATGGGGGGGGGGGAACGACACTTTGTAAACTGTGAGCAAGTGCCCCACCCTCTCCACATCTCAGTTTCTTCATCTGTAAAAGGAAAGGCCTGGATGAGATGACATCTGAGCATTGCACACATGACCCCACCCCGGGGGCACCATGAAAACAGGCCAACAGGCTGGTTTCCACTCTCTCCTGCTCATGACCCTTTCACACACATTTCCCATTTTATCTTTAAAATGGGCCCCCCAGGGGGAGTCAAAGCTTGCCTATTGCTCCCAGTATACAGATAAGGAAACTGAGACCCAGTGAAGCCAAGAACCTAGACCACATTCACATGGCTTGTCAGCAGCAGAACTGGCCCTGGAATCCACATCTCCCACCAGCCTTTTCACTACTCCAGGTGGGAGAGGGACAGTGGCTGGGTAGCTGGACAGGGGGAGGTGATCGTGCTGGCAAGAGAGGAAAGGAACAGATGCATTCCACCCAGAGACGTCCATGGCAAGCCACATTATAGAGAGGGAGTCAACTGGTCTCGCAGGAGAACAGATAGGGGTTAGACATCAGAAAGGACTTCTGGTTGAGAAACCACAAGAGGAAATACAGGCCTCTTCTACCACCCACCTATAAGCAGAGGGCTCAGCCCAGCTGGAGGCAGGGACTGGCTGGGTTGCCCATGGGTCTCACCTGTAGGAAAGAGAGGCTGGCATTGGCGGGCAGGTAGGTGAGCTCCAGGTTACCCTGTACCACCTGACAGCCCTGGTAGAGGTGGCGGAGCATGTCCAGGTGGGTCTCGGGACTGGCTGGGAGCCGTAGCTTCATGTCTGTGCCGGTGCACACTGGCAGGAGGGGGGAGATGGATTAGAAGCACTGCCCACCCAGTCAACTTCTCCAACCCGGCTGCCTCCTCTACACTCACTTCCCAGAGCCATGCCATCTCTGACAGCGAGAAAGCACAACTGAAGGACCCCTCCTAGCACATTCCCTACACCTGCAGAAGCTGCACCAGCAAAAGGAAGTCTGCAAGTTTGGAAAGAGGAGGGAAATCAGGGAAGATGGCTCTTTCTGACTCAGCCCATCCCGAGCACCCAGAGGGGGTCTTGCTGTGTCAGCCCTAGGGAGCTTGCCCGTCTAATCCAAGGAGTTGGCTGGCAAAGAAAGCCTCTTTGTCCCAAAGGCACAACTGAGGGCCAAGGGGCAAAAATCCCCCAAGAGAAGGGACGATGAATCATGAACCCTCTGGATACCCCCTACCCCGCTCCCAAGCAAACAAACTCAGGGCATTCTCCCCACCCCATTCCAATGCCACCCACATGCCAACCTCTTGGCAAGGGATATCCACCCCTACAATGCCACCCAGAAAGTGGGAAAGGAGGGTCAGCTGGAGTCATAGCGGGGGCAGGAGGACCACCGGGGGCCTGGCCACTGCAGAGACCTCTGGAATTCCCCCAGGCAGAGACAAGGAGGGTCAGACCCCAGTTTTGGGCATCCAGACCCAGGCTACAGATCCTGGGACTGTGATGCCTACTCTAAACGCTCCTACTCTGGTACCTCACCCTTGCCACCTCCTCAGGGCAAGACTCCAGATGCAGCTGGCAGAATCTATGCCACGAAACTCCTGCCACAAGAGCACTACGTCAGCCTGTGTACCTGCCGAGTGCCAACTATTAGCCAAGGGGCATCAAGATGACTGCTCCCAGGCCCACCGGGATCATAGCTGGGCGTCCCTGAGACCAGAAGTACCCTCAAAGTCCAGGGATACTAACAGGGGTAAATAACCCCTGGTGAGGGGGTGCTGGGGGCAGCAGCTGGCACCATGCCTGCCAGCAGGGGGGAGATTAAAGTGCCCAGTTTAACTTGTTTTTCTGCTCTAGTAAGAAGATGAATCATCTGGTGCGTCTTGGCCAGGAGGGTGTGCTGGGGTGGGGGGGGAGGTAGGCAGAGGGCACCCCCAGGTACACAGGCCCACAGGTGCCTGAGCTGCCCAGAATTCCTATTGGTCACCACTCCACCCCCATTTACGTGCAGATGAAGGGGGGACAGCAGAGTGGCTGACCTCAAGGTCTGACACCAGGGCGCCTGCTGCTCCCCCAGCAACTTGAAGCTGGAGGTCAAATCCCAGTGGGTAATAAAAGATACCCCCTGCCCCCAGAAAGCTAGGGAAAGGCTGATGGGGCAAGCCCCGCTGAAGTTGCTTCCTGAGCCTCCCAGTAATGCTCAGAGTGGTCTCTGTTCCTACCCCTCTGGGCAGAGAGGGAAGGAAGCAAACAGGGAGGAAGGGGAGGGCCCAGAAATAGAATCCAGGGTCCCTCCCCTCAGACTCCCAAAAGAAACAGGAGCCGGTGGCCAGCCTAAAATAACGCCCCACTGCCAGGACCTCCCCCGGCCTCAGCTTCAGCTGCTTTGTAGGCACAGCTGTCTTCAGGCCCAGACCCCAAGGCCCTGGCCCAAGCCCGGGGAAAGGAACCAGCAGAGCTGGGACAGGGGGTGTCTCCACCCCCTGCAGCCCTGTGCTGACTCCAAGGGACACCAGCTGTGGCAGCCAGGCAATAGGAAAACAACAACAATGGAACAGTGGGGGCAGCTGCATTAACTGAGCACCTACTGTGTGCTCAGCAGGCACTCTGGGTAGAGCCTCATTACATCCTGCAGAGGCCAGGGACCTCCATTTTGCAAAGAAAAAAAAACTAAGGCTGACAGGTTATATTCTTCTAAGATGATAAAGCTTGGAAGCTGAGCGATAGAGGTAGGATTTGAACTTGAGTCTGTCTGACTTTAGATTCCACATTCCTTTCACTAGGCCTAACAGCACACACACAGATTCACGCCACACCCCACGCAAACATAAATACACACCAACTCTACCGATGCCACTGAAAAACATTACAGGCTCTGGGCAAGGCAGGGTGGCTGGGCTGGGCAAGGGGAACAGAACGAGTGGTAGCCCCGCCCAGCTAGTAAATTTGTTTGTGGCCAATTTGATTAAGAGTCTTTAAGTGTTTGCAACAGGTGGTAAAATTGGTACCCTGAGACCCACTCCCAGGGAGCTGGAGCCTTCCAGACTAATCCCTCCACCAACCTGACATGAAGCCAAGACCTTCTTGATACATCCCTTACCTCCACCTTTCTCCATTCCCCATGATCCTGGCACCACTGCTTCCTCCCTCTCCCCCATCTCCTGACCACTTCCCCCTCCCCAGTCCTCACCCTGGACCCCATATCCACCCTGCTCCCATTGATTTTCTTGAGGGCTAAGAGGTTCTCTTCCACACAGGGGAGCTCTTTGTCTCCAGGACACCTGCCCCTTAGGAGCCCCAATCTCCAGCTCTTCCAGCAAAGTCAGTGTGGGGCAGGACCAGCCCACAGCCAGGACAAAACACACAGTGAGCACTGGATGGATGGATGGATGGATGGATGGATAGATGGATGGATGGATGGATAGATGGATGGATGGATGGATCAATGAATGAATGAATGAATGAATTCCAATCAAGAGTCTCCAAACCAAAAGGGACCAGTTGAGGTCATGGTGTTCATCCCCATTGCTCATGGGCTGGTCACGGTCCTTCATGTCCCTCCAACTGGACTTCAGTGGTCAGGGTTTGGTCCCAGCTCTGGGATGCTCTCAAGTGGGTTCTCTCCTTCCCACCAGCCTTCAGCACCAGCTGCTTCTCTTACTCACCACAATGAAAGCCAATACTTCCTTTGGTTTCCATGAACACTACCTGCACCCCCAAAGCTCATCTCCCCTGGACCCATGGGGCCAGAGCCCATTCTAGTGACACCAGGACTCACCCGCCACACACCTGGAATATAAGGCAGACTGGGGCCTGGGCTCAGGGTCATCAGACCAGAACCCTACCTGGGCCACTCACTGTGTGACCTTGAGTAAGTCTCTGGGCCTACAGGGCAGAGGTTCATCTCTAGGCACAGCAGTGCCTGTGACTTAGTAGGCACTCAATGAATATTTACTGACCTGACCTTGGCTGTAAGGAGGAGATAATAAAACAATAACAACTCTTCCTCTCTGCAGAGAAGTTAAATGAGATAGTGAATTAAAAAGCAATCTGTAAACATGATAAGGCTTTGTAAACAGTGCTGAGAGACCACCAACTTTGGCTATAACTCTCGGGCTCCTTGAGAGAGCACACACCCCTCGTCAAGGGGTGGAAAGGAAAGGTGGCCTAGCAAGAGGTGTCACCTCAGAGGGGCTTCCCACAGGCCAAGGGCAGGGAGGAGAATCTCTTTCCAAATCATTCCAGCACCCAGGGGCAGACACAGCTACCTGGAGCCTACGCCAGTCCCCCAGCCCCACACTGGTCCCTCATGCTTCCACTCCAGCTGTCTCCCTCCCCACAACCCTGCAGCTCTCACTGGCCTCTGCCCCACTCCTGCTCTCAATGCCCTGCCATTCTGGGAGGGCCCAAGAAGAAGGCAGACACGGGCTGGACAGGGAGAGAAAGGACTCCAAATCCAAGAGGGGACCTGGGTGGGGGACAGCTCAGCTCCACTTTCTACAGCCCAAATAAGGTAAGTCATTCACCTGCATAACAGAGTAGCACCTCTACCCTAGTCTGGCTACCTGGCTGCCTCTGAGGCTTTGCTCAACCCATTCTTATTGAATGGAATAAGACTGATGAACTCTTAATGTCTCCTTGTTAGAGTCCAAAATTGTCCTGGACATTACTGAGTCGCTGGAAAGCCTTGGGTAAGTCACTTCATTTCTTGGAACTTCAGTTTTCTCATCTGTGCAGCAACTTCACAGGATTGATGCAGAGATGAAACAAAACTGTCTACGAATAAATAACCTGGCATATAGGAAACACGTTGTATGTTTTTTGAAACTTAAGGCAAGGGAAGTTCACATAGCAGTAGTTTGGGTAATTCCCAACCAAGAGAAAAGAAAAGGTACTTTGTATTTAGAATGCAATGTATTTTCTCTTTTTGCATTTGATCCCATCTTTTCAATTGTGTGCGTGTGAATATTAAAATGAGGTTACTTCCCCTAAATATAGTAAAAAGAAGGAAAGAGGCTGTTGGGAGAATCATATGGGAATTAAATATGAGCTCTGCAAGATAAAAAGGGTGTGTTTGCTACACTTTACCAAACCTTGACCTCTAAGAGAGGATCTCAGGAAAATCCCGACTCTCTGGGTCTTGCCCCATCTCCTCCCCCAATTCCCCCCACATTCCTAACTCAGCTCTCAGTCCTGGGATATATTGGGTTGTCGTAAAAGTCATGATGCATCTTTGCAACGAAAAACAGAAAACATACATCATGACTTTTCCAACAACCCAATAATAAGGGTGCTAGAGGCAACTTGGTGGTGTGCTGCCATTTTAACCATTTCCTGCAACACACTCAAACATCTCTGCCTGCACCCGCAGTGCAGGTTGAGGGGTGAGGAGGAGGTCCCAGTCACCCGTGGGGAAACTGACCCCTCAGATCCCAGCCCTGCAGCAGCCCAGCCACTCCCCCACCTGCTCAACTCAAAGGCCCAGGTGAGGAGGACAGCAGCTCAGCCTGACAGCCCAGCCAAGCCTCACCCTTCTCAGCAGAAGGTCAGGGGTGAAGACTCAGCCTGGGTAACAGGGAAGGAAGGGCTCCCTCTGGGAGAGGAGACTTCTTTCTCAAAGAGAAGGCGTGGGGCCACCTCCCGCTGTTTACAGCAGAGCTGGCCCAGCACCTTCAGGGAGTTCCTTGAGAGGGCAGAGTTCAGCTAAGTCCCCAAGTCAGCAGAGACACTGTTTGGCAACACAAAGCACACACACACACACACACACACACACACACACACACACACACACACACACACCCCACAACGCAAGAACACCCCTCAGATAGCACAGCAATGCTCTGGCAGAGGGGCCCTCAGGCGACACAGACAGGATGACACCCACCCCTTCTCCAGACTCCCTGATCAATGGCGACCACCCACACTACTCCCAGGACCCAATGATGCAGGAAGCAGTGTCACCACTGTTTAAAGTAAA